TACAAAGCTTGATTTCAAAAGGACCAACACTTAAAAATTATCATACACCTATCTACCTGCTTCAGTATGCCAGTGCAAGGACTCCTGAGTGCCTAATCATGAGGGCTTCTCTTTCAAGAGAAGAAACACTCCCATTTCAAGTAAAAATTTCTACAGTCCAGGTGAACTATACTCAACCCATATTAGAATTTTTTTTAAACTATAGTATCACTGAGACTTGATAAACACATAAGTACTAAGAGTCTTTTAGTCCAAAGCATTTACAGAGTGGAGCCACATTTAAAACTAATTATATATTCATTTTAATGCTGCTACCAGACTGTCTTTCTATTCCTGTTCTCTTTTGCCTTTTTATATTCCCACTTCATTTTTTTTTCTATAGTATTAAAAAGGGATTATGTAATATGATGTTCTGGTGAATGCAGGACCTTTTCTACTCCCTAATAAATATTCAAAAATATTTTGCATACATCCTGTGAACAAGGCTTGCGAAATCATTATGGGATGACTTATGAACATTCATCTTGCCTATACTGAAGTATAATCTAGTCAACTGGATGGTATAGCAAATCATCCTGACACGTTTATATTAATGCGTATTTGAATGAGAATAAGAAAGAAATAGTCAAATTTATGTTAAAGACTTCTAAAGGCTTAACAACATCTTACTAAGTATATATGTCAGCTTAATCTAATCCTCCTACTTCTAACACGTTCTGTGGTCTCAGCACGGTGCCCATAATGCTCTCGTATGCTATGAGGGATTGCCTCTGAGAAGTTCACCATCACTACTACACTTTGTTCAATAAAACTTTACATCTGCTTTTAGGATGACAGAAAGCTCTCTGTCTCAAATATGCATTACAAACCTTTAGTTTCTTTTGACATCAGTAACATCAGCTATAATAATTTCCAGTAACCTGTTACAATATGCAGAGTATACATAATCCTGGTTCTCATCTTACTGTTTCAGGTACAAATTTCTCTAATTTATCTGGACAGTTTTAAATAAATGACAGTTTCTTTGCACCGAAAAAAGCTCTCATCTAATCAGAGGCTCATTTGAGAAGATCTGTGGCAGTATTTCCTCTTTTCACTCCAACGATTTGAAGTTCTAATCAGAAAAAAAGTACCTTTATTTTTTTTTCTGTGCTTTTTCTAGAGGAGACAATACATTGCAATTCATGATCTTCCAAGAATTATTGAAGACTATTTACTAATCTTATGACATGATGGAAGTCCACCTGAAATCTACTGAGACTGGAACAGTTATCTCCTCAACTATCTCTTTTGATTTCTGAGACATGGTAATTTCTGTCTTTTCCATTACAGATACATGTCTGATGAATACCGGTGTCTAGCATCCCCTGCTACGTTATTAATATTATCTTTCCTCAGTAGACAATGCATCTGATAGTAGTTGAAGACTCCAAAAGGACAGAGCTACTTGTGGGATTAACAATGTCTAACACATGTCAGAGATCAAGTATGTCACTAACAGGTCATCATACAAATGGTTAGCAACCAGCACTACCTGAGCTGAATTAATAAATGGCAACTGAAAAACTGCTCTCTCACTATCATTTGTGTTCTGGCAGCCACATCTAGGAAACAATACTTTTTAATATTCTGTTTATTAGGTCTGCAGATTTTCAAGCTAAGATCCATACATTTATCCTCTGTCCTGGTAAAATGCTATTCTGTGTTTGAAAGACAGTTCTACCAGCTATCTGATGAGTAGCATAAGTAAATTCTGATACCCGCCTAGGCATACTCTGCAACAGAAAGTAACCTTTGGAGGTAGCAGAAATCACCACAGAGACATCCAATTACTCAAACTATCTTAGGGCAAGACTACAGAGACAGGTATGAGGAAGTTTTGGCCATGCTCAGAGCCAACATCACACAAACCACTGCTATTCTGGAAGCCAGTGCTGTTCCCTCTTGTGACTTGCCACATCCAGATTCATGCATTCTATAAGCAGAAAAAGCTTATTTGAACTTGCCTAAATATATTATATGTATGTTTCAAATTCTATTCAGGTAATGAATTAAACTTCTGGGTAATGTAAAATGTGCCCCTTTTTCTCCCTTAGTCCTGAATCCAGATTTAGGAAGAAGGCTGACAAGTTAATGAACTGTTGTAGATGAAACGTGAGGGCCACATTAAGGCTCAAGAAGAAAACGGGAAAACACTATGAGAAACTGGAAGAAGCTGTGGTCATCAGAACTTAACAATTTTTAATACCTTGGGCTGGTGTTATAGTCAGGTTAAAATATCATGGTATTCAAAAGAAAGACCTAATATTAGTTCTTGTATATTACTCCGTGAAGCACACAAAGGACACACATATTTGCAGTAGTTCTGCCAGTCAAAAGTAAAGACTGCCAATAATAACTGAGACTATAAAACACAGACTATGTCATCTTGCTTATGGACACTGTCTAGAAGATACTGAAATTAATGGGAACATCTTGGAGACCTTATACAGTGCTTTTTAAACTGAGAGTTAATATATATGTGTGAGTCCATTTTAAATTATAAGAAGTATAATTACAATAATAGGACAAAAGACAGTGAAGGACATAGTTCAGTAATATGCTGCATCCTTTGGAAAGCTGCGTCTGCACTGGAGACTACATTGCCTTTCAAGGCTCCAAGGACACGTGTATCAACAAATGTGTCTTAAAAATAGATTAAAAATTAGTCGACTGATTTTGAATCAGAAACAGTATATATTTATAATAGCCTTATATCAGATTGAAACTATCAGTAAGACACACTTCAGCAACAACTATTTTAATGTGAGCAGTTATTTTCATATATATAGCATATTTCTTCTTCCCATTACGTGAACTTTCTGGAAATATTCCTTAAGTAGAAAAAAGTTATTTTTAAATTCTTCATCAATGAATTAGTGCTACTTGTAAATTTAATGTATTCTATATATTCTACAGATTTACAAGAATCTGTTTCATACCAATGGGGATAATGAAAAAATTGCTATAATGACAGGAATTATTATGACAGTGAAGAGATCTGAACACAACCAGAATGAATATATCACAATCACAACAAATCTTTCTATGTCTATGCCACTGGTAGTATAACATGAATGGAATTGAATCAAATTTTTATGTGCACAATTTATATATTATACTGAGCAATATATTTAATAAAGCAGATTAAATTTATTTGGAAGTAATTATTCTATGTCCTGAGAAATACCAGAAAGAGAGCAGGCAAAACAGTAAAATTAATCCCATGCCAGGAACATGTTTTATCAGGTTTCCTTTTAGCTGTTAAACAAGATGTAGTAAAAACAACAACATTCTGTCAGACTATATGTTCATTCCTTGCTTCCTGGATTAAATATGCTTATTCTATGCCATATTTTTATAGCTTTCAATTCCTGTACTTTAAATCTATTAAACAATGTCAAGTTGTATTTTCTTCAAAAATTGCTGCAGGTTAAGAAAAAAAAAATAGGACAGTAGAATATTTGAGGGCTAACATTTATGTCAGCTAATTAATATGGATCAGTTGTGGTCTGCAAGAATTTTTAAAGTGCATGCATGTTTGAGATAAATATAGACTAAGGATCTGATTTAGTTCTTTCTCACATTGATAACAAAGCTCTTACTGACTTCAATAGAAGTATGTTCGACAAGTTTTCTAGGCCTGACAGATAAAATAAGCTTTTGTGCTCTTGCATAATGTTAGTTGTCCCAAACTGAGCATAGCCCAAAATAAAGATATAAACCATAAGAAATAAATTATAGTTGTAACGTTATATTTATTGTTCTGTATTCTCTTTACTTAGTAAGGGAATGAGATTTTGAAAAAATAAACATTGGGAAAAAACAGTAAATTTTTTTGGTTAGCAAGTTCTCTATAATTAAGTTGGTAAGAAATCAGCCCATGTTCAAATCAGAGACCCTCTAATCTAAAGTACATAATACCATTTCCTTGGTTGAAAACATTAATATTTCATTATTTATTCTCAAAAGATTGCCCCTTAGCACACAGGATTTGGTTATTTCAGCATAGTTCTAGATCATGACCAAACCAGGCTACCAAATGGACAAGTGTTCAAAGACTTTTATGCCTAAGATTCATTCTCCCAATGTCAGACTCTCAGGTAGCTGGATTTCTCAGAACAAGTAATCCAGGGCATTATCCTGTTTGGACTTCAAAACATCCAAGAACAGAGCCTTTCTACATAAGAAGCATGCCTTGTATCCAGAAGAAGAACAAACGTGTTTTAATCATAGAATCATAAAATTTATGTTGGAAATTTAGGTAGGAAAAGACCTTTAAGATCATTGAGTCCAACCATTAACCTAATGCTGCCAAACCACATCTCTTAAGCACCACATCTACACATCTTTTATATACCTCCAGAGATGGTGACCCAATCACTTCCCCAGGCAGCCTGTTACAATGCTTGACAACTCTTTCAGTGAAGAAATTTTTCCTAATATCCAGTCTGAACCTCCCCTTGCACAACTTGAGGCCATTTCCTCTTGTCCTATCACTTGTTACTTGGGAGAAGAGATTGACACCCGCCTTGCTACAACCACCTTTCAGGTGGTTGTAGAGAGAGATAAGGTCACCCCTCATCCTCTTTTTCTCCAGAAGCCCAGTTCCCTCAGCCAGTCCTCATAAGACTTGTGCTCTGGACCCTTCTCCAGCTTCACTGCTCTTCTCTGGACATGCTCCAGCACCTCAATGTGTTTCTTGCAGTGAGGGGCCCAAAACTGGACACAGTATTCAAAGTGCAGCCCCACCAGTCCCGAGTGCAGGGGGATGACCACTTCCCTAGTCCTGCTGGCTGCACTATTTCTGATGCAAGCCAGAATACTATTGACCTTTTTGGCCACCTGTCCTTGAAAGGCACTTCTAAAATATTTTCTTCTAATTAAACCTTTTGTATAAGTAAACAAAAATTATCATACGCTCACTATTAACACCCGGTTTCTGTCATCATAAGTCTTACCTGTTTGTAGTGTTTCAGCATCAAAGACATTCTCCTTGAAGAAAGCTCTAAAAGACAAAGGACTTGCATGGCAGTCTTCTGAAAGTTTCTCAACTGCTTGTCTAAACATAGCAACTAAGTCACGAAGAGGTCCATCTAAATCAAGCTGAGAAGTGGATGGTGAAATCAAGCTCAGACGTACAGAGATTGATACACAAGATGCAGAACTAGACTCCACAGATTCACACTCAATTTGGAAGCCCTCTGACAACATCTTCATTGCAAAATGTTTTCTTTGGAGTGGATCATCAACTACTGCAACAACATGCCATTCAATGGCAGCATCTCTGGGTAGGTGAGATATTACAACCACAGCAAGCAACCCACACACTGCAGTTACATCATGATACAGCTCCGAATCTTCAACCTAAAATATAAACAAAATATTGTGCATATTACAAAGTTGGTAGAAATTGATGTTGCTCATATTCAGCTGATATATTTAAAAAAGTATGTGCAGTAGTTATTTCATGAAGACTGTTTTCCCCCTAAACTTTCCTTCTTATTGAAAAGTCATCTTAAGCAATTATGAATTTGTCTTGACAGTCAATATCTGCTCTTTTTTGCAATCTAAAACTACTACTATGCCTGTACCATTTAAAAAAATGCTGATCATAATGTATTTTACACCATTCTGAAATCAAAAAGAAGCCTTTTTGCAGATAGGAGCTTTTGTCCATACCAATGGTGTTTGAAGAATAAAAATGGTAGGAACTCCCAAAACTACAGAAATGAGATAGTAAAGCACATAAGGTTTACTTTTAAAGTTGAAGTACTAAAAATACAGTTTGGATAGAGCAAAGATACCATTCAGATCGTTGTGAACAGCAGAATGATCTTGATCAAACCCTCTTAGAAGATAAAATGTGCTTTCTTAATAGCAGAGCTTATTAGAAAGTATGTTTACATTGTTTTCACATCAACCAGCACATCTAGCTAGCTTGGTAAGCTAACTCTGAGTAACTGAGTTCCTTTTCTTTTGATGGTATTAAAGAAGTGGGACAGGCTTTCTACTTACTTCTTTGTAAAAAAATTAGTATAAATTGCACTGTAGCATGTTAACAGGTATGGGAAGTGACTATAGTATTTTAAAATACTAAAACACTTTTCCATGAGACAGGAAAAATTGCAAATTTGCAGTAATTTCAACCCAAATTAATTACTTGCACCTATGTGCATTAGAGTTACCTTTGACTCTTAACAGAACTGAGTTAATAAAAAAATTATCTTGTCCTGTTGTTGCTATGTATTCAATCCTTTTTCATCTGAATACAAACATAACCTTAGAGCTTTAAACTAGGCACAATAAATTGCAGTGGGTTGACTGTATCCAGCAGCTAAGCACCACACAGCTGCTTGCTTACTCTTCCCCTCCCCAATAGTACAGGTGAGAAAACTTGTGAATCAAGATAAAGATGGTTTAATAAGTGAAGAAAAGAGGAAGAAGAAAGGAGAAAAACAAAACAAGGAATGCAAAGGCTATTACTCATCACCTCCCCACCAGCAGACTGATAACCCAACTAGACTGTGAGCAATGGCTCTCCTCCCAGAGATCCCTTCCCTTACTTTGTATGGCTGAATATTATGTTATATGGAATGAAATATCCCTTTGATTAGTTCAGGTCAGCTGCCCCAGCTGCGTCCACTCCCAACTTCTTGTTCACCCCCAGCCTACTCGCTGGCAGGGCAGTGTGGCAAACAGAGAACATGCTGACACTGTGTAAGCACTGCTCAGCAACAGCTAAATACCCGGGTGCATTATCAATGCTGTTTTGATCACAAATCCAAACCATAGCATGATACAGGTTGCTATGAAGAAAGTTAACTCCATCCCAGACAAAACCAGTACACACATTTAGGTCTGCTGTTACCTTACACTAAAATGCTCATACTCCTATTATGTATAGAAGATGGTCTATTTATGGAAAGCAACCCCATTTAATGATCTACCTACTCTCAAAAAGCGTGAATTTACGTTAGCTTATCAGCTCTCTGAACACATTTTTTTTTAAACAACTGTTCAAATAGTTGAACAGTTAAAATGCTTATTCTGACCAGCAGATTATTTTTTTCTTACTTTTCCTCCATTTTTTATGAAGATATTAAGCATGTTTAATATTAGTGACTTCCACCATCTTCTTTGTGTATACAGATAATAACTTTTTTTATATACCAATTTGCTTACACCACAGTACATACTGGGAATATTGTCCACTGCCTGACCTCTGAAAGGAAAAATAATAACAACGCAAACATGTCATTTTGCCTGAAGTCGATAAGGCCATATAACTCACAGTACCTTCAATCCACGAGCTCAATTTTCATCCACTCGCTCTCAACTTTGAGAGGAAGAAATAATGACAGGTTACAGGCACTTTATTTCAAAATTCACTCACAAAGTTATTGACAAGCATTTTGCACAGAATATCTTTGATGCTTGACCCTTGTGAGTTGTTTACATGAAAAAATGCACTTACTTCTATATTAACGATAGTGGAGTCTAATTCTATACCAAACATGTAGCAATTGCTTTAGCATTTCTGGTTTTGATATGGGAACAAAAATAGGGATAATTTGTCTCAAATTGCAGTCACTTCAGTCATAATAAAATCTCGCTGAGTACTGTTTGCTTTCAGTACTTTCATTAGGCTAGCTGGGACTGTTATTAAGGTACCAACATATAAATGTTATATTAGCACTTAACAGAGGAGCACAGTATTCTCCTCTAGGAGATGAATTCTAACCTTGTCAATATAATTCTGCTCTGAGTGCTGTAAAACAGTTTGAAAAGATGAAATACTGGAGCTTTGCACTGAGGAAAAAGAAGTCATGCTCATTCAGGCTTAAAGGCCACTTTGCTGGCCCAAGGTGCTGAGGTACTGTTTAGAAAAAAAAAGTCTAAAGAAGCTCTCTCAGGTCACATCAAGCACTAAGACAAACTTTTCTTTTTCCTTGTACTTGTCTTAGGTTGTTAAATCAATTACTCACTATTTCTGCTTGCCTTCAGCTGCCATGTAGAATATGAAGAACTACATGAAAATTAAGGCCAGGAGAAAGTACATTTCCAAATTTAACAAACGAGAATCATTCTGTGTGAAAGACTATTCATGGTGAAACCTGTGCAGTACTACAGCACTCATAACCTTTAACTTCAGTGTTTGCATAAAGCACAAGTGATGGAGCTACTGGGGACTAATAATCTTTCATCAGCTGCTACAGAATCTTACAGAAATACTTCTAACAATGACCTCTCCTGACTTTTTTTCAAGAAATCACTGACATTTGTGTTCTACATGAATGCTGCTGCATTTATGACTTACTTTTCAGAAATTTACAACTGTCTTAAATATCTGAATATCTTTATGATAGCCTATCTAGTAAATGAGAATGAATATAGAAGGTCTGCCAAGAATTTCTACTCATATGATGCTGGAACAACATACCTAAGTATTAAGAGTGAAAATGAAGAGGAATTATTTTATGACTAAGTTGCTTTTTACAATTGATTCTGCACTCTTATCAAGGAGATTCAGCACTTGTGGCAGACAGCTGTGATACTATGAAGAAAAACATGTTTTTAGGGTTCTTGCCCAAGGATACTGTTGTAGACTGTTATACAAAGGAGAACAGTTTTTTGTCTAGTCCTTCTACATCCTCAGACTTGGGAAGGGAAAAAAAAAAAAAAAAAAAAAAAACAGGATACAGCTTGGCTTGTAATTCTTGAAAAAGAAGTGTCAAATAATTCTTGGGAATTCTTATTGAGAGACAAAAAAACTGTTGGGGCAAACACTGTTGAAAGTGGTGATTCCTTAAAGTATGTATGACCTGAATTTTACTAACTTTTACAAATTTCATTAGGCTGTAGATGTAGCTGTCATCTAAAGGTATTTGCCCTTAAATGCTTCTGTCTATCAGTAATCAAATGATTTTCAATTCATGGGAGAGGGTCTGCCTGTTGAAGATTCCAATTTCTACTTGTTAGCTTTTCCACAGGATTTAATCATTTCTAAGAACAAATACTGCAAAGTAGCTTTGCACCATAAGTTTGAATGTCATAGGGGAAAATTAGCAGATTGTAAAGGTTCAGCGGATGACTTCTGAGACAATGCGGACACAGATGATACTTCTGTGTTATACTTTCACATGATCTGATTTAAAGAGGGCTGGGGAAGGAAGGCAGGTAACATCCTTTCACTTGTACAAGAGACAGCCTCTGAAAATAAATGACACTGTAACAAAATCTTCCAGAAATAGATGCAAATGGGATCTCAGAGACCACACTATGATAGGATTCTGATACTATCATGCTATATAATGGTAGATCCCAAAACTTTGGACAAAAATTTGGTATGACAATTCATTTAGCTCTAACTGAATCTCATGTTAGACTGTCCTCAAAACATGATTCACAATATCCTCCCTCTGCCAAAAGGATCATTTGCTACTCCATTTATCAAAGGTGGAAAAGATGGAGTTCCAGAAAGTTTGGAAAAGAAAGTAAAAAATCAGATTTCTCTAAATGCATGCATTGTATTTGTATCATTCTCTATCCAGAGAAGGACTATGAACGCTCATTTTTAACACCTTGCTTTGAAAAAACTACAACTCAATAAATGATTTTTCCCACCGTGAAGAAAACACTGATATTCTTCTGATGATACAGACATTCTGATGATACATTTCAATAATTCAGGGGAAAAGCAGAAGGGACAGAGAAGATTTTAGGGGGATACAATGTGACTCTATTATTTACCTGACATTTTACAATATCTAAGTAGGCTGATGCCATATTACTGTAAGCACCAAGGAGAGTGTCATGCTAAGCTAAGTGACATCTTGGAAAGTCTTCATGGACTGGTTAATAAAGAATCACTGCAGTTGACAGCAGTCCAGAAGGCAAGTAAACCATTATGAATTCTTAGGAAAGGAATAAAGTGCATGCCACTGTAGAAATTCACAGTTCACCCACACCCTGAGTAGGATACACAACTCTGGGTCTTTCAACTGAAAAAGGACATATTAGGCCCTGAATGTGTTCAGAGGAGGACAACAAGGATGATCAAAAGCTCTGGAGTGTCTAACTGGAAACATTCTCCAACCTTCTTAAGGAGAATATAACAGAGGTTTACAAAATCATACGTGACATAAGAAGGGTGGATATGGATAAGAATTGATTTTTCATGCTTGTCTTTCTGTACAAGAACTACGGATCATCAAATGACATTAGTAAAAGCATGGTTTCAAAAGGAACGATGGTGGGCGACACCTGCAACTCCTTGATGGAGAACGCTGTGGTTGCAAGAACTTTACAGGGATTCAAGGGGAGCCTGAACAAGTACTAAGAACACAGATTCAGTGGGGATTATA